AGTCTATGGTCCTCAAGTTGCATGAAAATTGCACCAAATTAGTGCAGAACTACACTACGCTACAACTTGAAGTTGCACAGATTTGAATAGTACTCAATGGGTGTGACTTTGGACCCCAATGTTGCATGTCAAGGCACACAAGTGTGAATGGTCTCTTAGGCCTGAATATTACATAATCACCCCCCTCCCAAAAAAAAAAAAACAAAAAACAAACCAAAAACCAAACAAACATATATTTTCTGAAGGCAAACACCTTAGAGAATAAAATAGTGCTAGTCCCAAATTTTTGTGTCACGATATTAGCACAGTGGTTTAGGAAATGCAACATTTCATGCACACAAATGCAATAAATAACCCAATTTTGGAGTAAAATTTGGTAAAAGATGAAGTTGTGCCAAGTAAATAGATACCCAACATGTCAAATCTTAAAATTGTGTGTGCCCATCAAACGGTGACAAACTTCAGTACCTTGTATTTTTCATAGGTGACACTTTAAAAGCCCCTACAGGTCATCAGTTTAGAGTTAACAGTGAATAATGGGCCTAGAATCATTGCTCTCATTCCAGCATGTGTGGCGATATGTAATGTGTGCAGCGTGATGTTTTCATGTGTAAGTTCCTCTGACGTGTGTATTTACAATCATACATTTAAATACTTGGGTGGAACTTTCATTTTTGACTTTTTTTTTAAACTTTTTTTTTTTAAACTAAGCTTGTTTTCATCACATAGGGGACAAAAAAATCCCCAATATGATGCAATTTTTTTTTTTTTCGTCAAAGGTTCTCTTTAATGAGACATTAGGGGATCTAAAAGACCCCTGACGTCTCACCTGTCCTCCAAAGCAACAGAATGCAGATCGTGTTGCATAGTTTGGTTGAAAAAAGATCCAAGTCCTGTAGACATAGACCCCATGCTCCGGGCTTAATTTCCCTTGTCTACTCTTCCATTATTTCTCATAGAACTCCTCCAGTTCACTGTTATCATCAGCGTTGGCAGTCGGAACTTGGGGGCACTCTAGCTCAGCAAGATTGGCGGATCACGACCCAACAATTATACAAATGTTCTAGGAATGTTATCATTCTAGAAAACGCATACAAGGTTCTTTATAGATGGTATTACACGCCGGCTCATTTGGCTCGTTTTATTCCCACATATTCCCCGACTTGCTTTCGAGGTTGTCAGCAGATGGGTACCATGGTTCATATTTGGTGGACTTGCCCCAAGGTGTGCAGATTGTGGATCAGAGTTTATGCCCTTCTCCGCACTATGTTCCACACAGACATTAAACGCAACCCGTACGAAGCACTGTTATTTAAATCGTTAGTGGGCCTACTTCATCCTGAATGGCAGCTGGCATCGCACTTGTTCATGGCCACCAAGCTGACGATTGCGAGAGCTTGGAAGACTCCCCTCCTCAGCTTCGAGGCTGTCAAAAACCGGATGAACTTTATAATGGTCAACGAAAAGTTGACAGCTATATTGTTAGATACCCATACAAAATTTTTTACAGACATGGCGTCCTTGGCTTGATATAGCTCAACCGTCTAGATTTGACCAGTCCCTCTTGTCGATATAAAACTTATATACCAACTTATTTTTATATTTCTTTTTTCTCTTCTCTGCCGCGATCCCCCTGGAGCCCCCCCTCCCCCCTTCTTCTTCTCTTTTTTTTTTTTTTCTTTTTTGTGTTTGTTTGTCTCCGTTCTCTTCGCTCCTTTCTTTCCTCTTGTCTAGTCTGTCTTCTTCAGGTTGGTTGTGCTGATTGTGATTTCTGTTTTGAGTCCCGTACCAGCAATACTGCACCCATGTGCTGGACTCCTTTGAGAGCCCTGAGTGTTAAGTACCTCTTTGTACCCAGAGAGGATCTTTCCCCTATTCATTGCGTATTCTGTATGTTGATTCTGCAACAACTTTTCCTGAGAGTTTATTATGTTATTAGTCTCTAAATGTCCGTTGTTCTTGCAATTGCCTTTTCTTTCTGTACGGCACTTATGTATGCAGTTTATTTTCATGTTTTCTCATCAGTACATATTCTGTATTATCCATCGAATCTTTTGTATGTTATATTCCTGCTGGTCATTGCATACGTTATTTTCTGATTCTCTGCTGTTTTCTATTCTATAATAAAATTCTTTGTAAAAGAAAAAAGATCCAAGTCCATCCAGTTCTGTTCGCTTCTTATGGCCGGATCACTGCCATCTGCAGTCTGCTCATCCGATTTGCATACTCTGCTGCCAATGGTGTGTGTAAAGTCCCCGAAAGCCACCAACATAGTTTCTACATTGGTGGCAGTAAAAGGATTAAAGCTGAACTCCAGAAACGAAAACTTTAAATCTGTTCCTCGAGAGCAGCAAAGGATATAAATCCACGTTGTGTATACCAAATGCCTTTGCAGATCCAACTATTGACGTACTATCAACAGTACTAAAAATACTGGGCTGAACATAGCTTGTACAGAGAGCAGAGCTGTGGGAAGAACCTAGCAGGCTCCACCAACTACAGGCTGCCTGCAGAAAGCTACAGGAGGGGGCGTAAACAAGACCAGTCACTCTGCATGAGGAGAGAGAGCAGCAGTGACCGGTCTTTGATACAGAAAGTTCCTGCAAAAAAAGATGACGTTTCACCTAGGATTACTGCACATATCTGGAAGAAATACATAAAAAGAATTAAGAATACACATGCCTCTTGTATTTAGAGGATATTTGTTTATTCTGGGGGTCAGCTTTAAAGTCCTTCTCATTGTTTGTGCTGGTGACAGATCAATTTGAAGACTTTTCCACATCGCTGCCTATTGCACTGTATTATTTTTACCGCTCTATTGGCTGAGGCCTCTTAGCACCCGGTCTTCTATAAAACACCATTTACTCTATATAAATCGGTTATTCGCGTTTTCCGCAACCCGTGTAATCGCGTTAGCGTTCATGAAGCCCAGCAGACCTGACTTTTCCAACTGAAAACCATATCCATCGTCTTGCTCAAGACCATCCGTCACAAATTCAATTAAAAGCTACCTTATTGTTTTATTGTGTTTTCTTGTCATCTGCCAAAGTGCAAATCGATCCGCTATGCGGAGCCGCGATGACAAATTGATAAGTGTGATATGTCAGACACGTATAATACGATTGTGGGCAGCTGATCATCCTGTCAAAAGGTTAACAGTGTGTTTTTACAGGCAATTTACAGGATGTAAGGGAAAAAAAAAGACAATTGAAGATATTATTTCAACATGTAATATTGAGGATCTTTATTACCTTGTTCTGCTGTTGTCATCATTGTGGGTAACTCTTTTTACACTGCTTTGTATAGCTGTGTAATTCATGCTTTAAAGCTTAACTCCAGGCACAAAAACTTTCAAATAAGTATATACAGTATCTCACAGAAGTGAGTCCACCCCTCACATTTTTGTTAATATTTTATTCTATCTTTTCATGTGACAACACTGAAGAATTGACATTTTGCTACAATGTGACGTAGTGAGTGTACAGCTTGTATAACAGTGTAAATTTACTGTCCCCTCAAAATAACTCAACACACAGCTATTAATGTCTACACCGCTGGCAACAAAAGTGAGTACACCCCTAAGTGAAAATGTCCAAATTGGGCCTAAAGTGTCAATATTTTGTGTGGCCACCATTATTTTCCAGCACTGCCTTAACCCTCTTGGGCATGGAGTTCACCAGAGCTTCACAGCTTGCCACTGGGGTCCTCCTCCATGACGACATCACGGAGCTGGTGGATGTTAGAGACCTTGCGCTCCTCCACCTTCCATTTGAGGATTCCCCACAGATGCTCAATAGGGTTTAGGTCTGGAGACATGCTTGGCCAGTCCATCGCCTTTACCCTCGGCTTCTTTAGCAAGTCAGTAGTCGTCTTGGAGGTGTGTTTGGGGTCATTATATTGGAATACTGCCCTGCCGCCCAGTCTCCGAAGAGAGGGGATCATGCTCTGCTTCAGTATGTCATAGTACATGTTGGCATTCATGGTTCCCTCAGTGAACTGTAGCTCCCCATTGCCGGCAGACCATGACACTCCCACCACCATGCTTGACTGTAGGCAAGACACACTTGTCTTTGTACTCCTTAACTGGTTGCCGCTACACACGCTTGACACCATCTGAACCAAATACGTTTATCTTGGTCTCATCAGACCACAGGACATGGTTCCAGTAATCCATGTCCTTAGTCTGCTTATCTTCAGCAAACTGTTTGCGGGCTTTCTTGTGCATCATCTTTAGAAGAGGCTTCCTTCTGGGCGACAGCCATGCAGACCAATTTGATGCAGTGTGCGGCGTATGGTCTGACAGGCTGACCCCTCACCCCTTCAACCTCTGCAGCAATGCTGGCAGCACTCATACGTCTATTTCCCAAAGACAACCTTTGGATATGATGCTGAGCACGTGCACTCAACTTCTTTGGTCGACCATGGCGAGGCCTGTTCTGAGTGTAACCTGTCCTGTTAAACCACTGTATGGTCTTGGCCCCCGTGCTGCAGCTCCGTTTCAGGGTCTTGGCAATCTTCTTATAGCCTAGGCCATCTTTATGTAGAGCAACAATTCTTTTTTTCAGATCCTCAGAGAGTTCTTTGCCATGAGGTGCCATGTTGAGCTTCCAGTGACCAGTATGAGAGAGTGAGAGTGATAACACCAAATGTAACACACCACCTCCCCATTCACACCTGAGACCTTGTAACACTAATGAGTCACATGACACCAGGTAGGGAAAATGGCTAATTGGGCCCAATGTGGACATTGTCACTTAGGGGTGTACATGCTTTTGTTGCCAGCGGTTTAGACATTAATAGCTGTGTGTTGAGTTATTTTGAGGGGACAGCAAATTTACACTGTTATACAAGCTGTACACTAACTACGTCACATTGTAGTAAAGTGTCATTTCTTCAGTGTTGTCACATGAAAAGATAGAATAAAATAATTACAAAAATGTGAGGGGTGGACTCACTTCTGTGATATGCTGTAATTGTATGCAAACCCAGATTATACCTTGTAAAAATCAATATTATCTTGTGCTGTACATTGCCTGTGCAGAGAGCTTCGGGAAGAGTGAGAGCACAGAGAACAGATACTGCAGCACGTGAGTGTACAGCAGCCTGTTAGGCTGCACATACACTCACAGCAGGGGCGGATTAACTATTCAAGTACTCGGGCACTGCCAAAGGCCCAGGGTCAGTAGGGGGCCCCATGAAATGCCCCTGGTACCTTTTTTTTTTTAATACGCTTTTTTTGGGTGTGCTTTGAGTGTGGGCAAGGACACAGGGGCCCCATGATCCCCTATTGCCCGGGGGCCCCATGAGTTGTCAGTCCGCCCCTGACTCACAGACTGCAGTGCCAGCTACTAGCCCCCCCCCTCATTCCCTCTTTATCCCAGGCACGGACCATGACTCAGTTAGCTAGTCACTGCCATTATGGAAGAAAAATATATTTGAACTATATTTTAAAAATATTCTTCCCAAATATAGTGACATATATATATTTGAAATGCTACAATTTTGGCCATATTCAATATATTTCAAAATATATTTCAATAAATATATATACACACATACACACACACTGCATGTTGAAGTGCGTTTTTTATATATTACAAAATATATGAAAAATATTTTTTAAATTATATTAAAATATAATTATTATAAAATAAAATTATATTTAAATATATTCTTCAGATTTTTTTTAATATATACAAAAGTCATTTTAACATATAGTTTCACATATATTTGTAAATGCATTCCAAAAATGTATATTTGTATTTTTAAAGACACAGTATGTTTGAAAACACACGTCAACATGCAGTGTGTGTATATATTTATATATATATATATATATATATATATATATATATATATATATTTTATATATGTGTATGTATATATATATTTATATATGTGTGTGTATATATATATATATATATATATATATATTTATTTATATATGTGTATGTATATATATATTTATATATATGTGTGTATATATATATATATATATATATATATATATATATATATATATATATATATATATATATATATATATATATATATATATATATTGAATATGGCCAAAATTGTAGCATTTCAAATATATGTCAATATATTTGGGAAGAATATTTTTAAAATATATTTAAAATATATTTTTCTTCCATGTGGGTGTGCGTTTTATCTGTGACAATAATATACACTGTTTTGGCTTATTTTCATCCCAAAATTGTAGCAAAATACATTTTGGCCTAAATTTACAGTATGAAGAAAAATTTTTATTTGCTAAATTTTCTATCAAAAATTAAGCAAAAGATTTTTTTTTTTTCAGATTTTTCAGTCTTTATTTTTTCATGTATATAGCAAAACATTAAAAAAAAACCCAGTGGTGACCAAATACCACCAAAAGAAAGCTCTGTCTAAAAAAAAAAAAAAAAAAAAAAATGCTAAAAATGCTAAAAATGTCATATGGGTACAGTGTTGCATGAACGAGTAATTGTCACTGTGTGATAGAGCTGAAAATTGGCCTGGACTGGAAAGGGGTGAAAGTGTCTGGACTTGAATTGGTTAAAGCAAGCTTTTGTTTTGCTCATACAGGAGCAATGCTGAAGCTGTACCACTTACAGTACACTCATATGCAAAGCAATACATATTGTCTAGTGCAATATTCAGGTGTCGTGCACACGGAGCCTTAAAAAACACTGCACATCGGGGTATCTGGCTTTTTGGATTTCTTTTTCTGCTCTAAGTACCCCTGTATGTTAGCCTTTGCGTCCATGCACACATAGGTCTTTAGAAGCAGAACAAATAACACTGCTGGCGTTTCCAGGAGCAGCATAATTTTGCTGGAAGAAACAAAACCGCTTGTACTGTGTATAAACGTGTTAACGCTAGGTACGTCTGCTTCAAGCACTTGAACGGTAGATCATTTCAATCTCCAGAATAATTGAACACCCATGCACTTGAAGCATCTAGATGTGTTTACAAATGTCAAGTGGCCAAAGCCTGCTGCCAGGAGGAGAGCCGAGCAAATGTCCTGAGTACATAAGGCCCTAAAGTGAACCTGTGAGGAATGCACCTTGCTGACTTTCATTTTGCTGCCTTTTGTGCCGTTCTCCTGATCCTGGCTTCACCACCTACTAATTTGTGGACGTTTCCTGTAAAGTCTGCTTTCGGCTGATGTCAATGTGCTGGTCCAGGTTTTGGATTGATCCCGACTTTGATGTTGCGCTACTGAGAGCCTGAGCCAGCTGCTCCCACCTCCTTCACAGCCCAGAGCTCCATTGAGCACCGGAAGGGCTGAGCATAAAGTTGGGCTACTTTCACATTGATCCGCCGCAAAAAATTCATTTTTGTACCGCGCTTTTGAGCATTTTTAAAATCTGCACCAAAAACACTTCCCAGAGGTGTTTTTGAGGTGCTTTTCAGGCGGTTTTCCATTGGTTTCAATGGGAAGAGACATTTTTTGGGGCATTTTTTTAAACTCCCCAAACATGCCCCAAAGATGCTGCAAGCAGGAGTTTTTACACCACACCGCACGCACAACACCTCAGTGTGAAAACATACATAGATATACATTCACATACATAGGGAAGCTTTTTTTCTTGAGCTTTTCAGGTGCTTTTTTTAACGCCAAAACGCTTCAAAAACTCCTCAGTGTGAAAGTAGCCTTAGTCACTGGTTCTGCTTACTGAAGACTGAGAACTGAGTGATCAGCGGTCTGTGATCGGTTCTTGGTCTTCAAGGCGGTGGGGGACAGATGCAGCATCTACCTAGTTGAGTGTAAATGTGGTTTGTTTTTTTTTTTTTTTTTGTTTTTTACATCCTGAACTTAATTTAATTTGAAGATTTATTGTTCCCATAGTGCCTGCAATCATTGAGACCAGTGAGGGATCACACTTATTTTACTTTTTAAGAATATACAAATGCCTTCACATTCATAGCCTTGGCACTGGTGCACTTTAACAACAAACTAGCAGACTGAAGCTTAAAATGAAACCTATTTCAAGGGAGGATAAACATTTGAGAACAAATTCTAACTACTTGCCCACTATGGCTTACATTGAGCTACTGTATTTTAACTACTGTAAATTCAACTATCTTTTTTTTCCCTTATTCCTAGACTCGGGTTATACATATCCAGCCACGTGTATCTTTGTGCCACAACTGATTTACAGCCTACTTGTGTCTAGTCATTGGGCAGTGTTTAACACGTGAGTGACGGAACCCTCTGACAGCCGCATGACTTGAGCAATACCTACACAGCTGTCTGAGTAGACGCGCCTTAAGAAAAGTCTCGGCTGCTCAAGAGAAGCGAAACTTCACTCTCTCAATCAACATTAACTATTTTTTGTCCTTATGCTGCTAGCATTAGTAAATCGATAAGAAGGTATATTATATTTACTCATTTTGCTTCCTGGTTTCTGGCCTAGGCTATAATGATGTCATACATCCCTGCAGTCTCCATGGGCATTTTGTTTTCTTTCATCTGGAGGAGGGGCTTTATCAGCTAAGTATACCCTCCCTGCCTGCATGCCTGAGCTTAAGGGCAGATTCCAGGAAGAAAATGCTACCTTAATCATCTGCCCTTACTCAAGATGGCACAAATAGAGTGCTAGGGGGTGTTTTTCAAAGTGATTTCTCAACAGAATAAAGCATGGAGACATGGATGGAAGGGGCAGTTTGCTTTGATGATTACAAATGAATTCAACAGCATTTTCAGTTTGTGGTGTATTTGTTAAGCCACTTTCTTTTCATAGCAGTTCTTCACTATGTACAGCAGAAAAACATTCATTTTCTTTCAAGAACTTTTATTAGGTTTAAGAATAGGAAAATATTTGTTTGATTATTTTTTTTTTTTATATGATTGCTGTAATAAGCATCTTGTAATGTTAGCTCAGATTTTTAATGTGCCGCATGAGCTCAATATTTGCATACTAAACTGTATGTCTGATATGGTCCTTGTTACCCATAATAACTCTGTTCTGTACAAGAGAGAGAGAAAACAGGTACTATATAGTACTAGGGGTGGTCCTGGTCTGTCTTGGATCTAAGTGTGTTCAGAAATCAAAAGGTAGCCATAGGGATAAGGGAGGGATCATTGTAGTAAAAAGGCTGATGGTAAGATCTCAAAGAACTCTCTAGTCCTCTATATATAAGCCGTTCTCAACCTTTTTACCCTGGGGGAACCTTTGAAATTTTGACTTCTCAGGAAACCCCTGCTTGAAATGATAAAAAAAAACACACAAAAAATAGCATGATCGCATGGTTTTATTGCATAGATTTCATGTTCTCAACAGAAGGTAAATCCTTTTTATAAGGAGAATTCTAATATGTGTTCCCATGATTCTAATCATCGTATACCTGCAGCACATGTAAGTTCTTCCTTCATTGCATGCTGTCCTTTCTTTACCTTCTCTTCCATCTTCTATTTCTTGTTTGGTACACCCTACACCTCTTACCCTTCCTCTTCCCCGAATCAATGGAAAAAGCAAAATGGATTCAGAACCATGTTGCTAATTCCCAAACCTCAGGTGTTTGTGGCATATGTTACTCCTCAACTGACAGGCAGATATGAAGAGACCAAACCAAGCTGGCATTTTTGTTATTGGCCCAAATTATATTCACTATCCTGTGCTTTGTACTTTTTCTGCGGAAGGCTGTAATGAGTTTCATATATCACTTGAAAAAGTGTCCCTTTATTTTACTGGCAAGTAAAGAAAGGCCCCCTTACGTTGGTGGGCAGTGGAGAAATGCCATCTGACTTTGGTGGGCAGTGGAGAAATGCCCCCTGACATTGGTGGTCAGTGGAGAAATGCCCCCTGACATTGGTGGCCAATGGAGAAACGCCCCTTGACAGTGATGGCCACTGGAGAAACGCCCCTTGACAGTGATGGCCACTGGAGAAACGCATCCTGACATTGGTTGCCACTTGAGAAACGCCCCCTGACATTGGTTGCCACTTGAGAAACGCCCCCTGACATGGGTGGCCACTAGAGAAACGCCCCCTGATGGGGGTGGCCAGTGGAGAAACGCCCCCTGACGTGGGTGGGCAGTGGAGAAACGCCCCCTGACATTGGTGGGCAGTGGAGAAACGCCCCCTGACATTGGTGGGCAGTGGAGAAACGCCCCCTGACATTGGTGGGCAGTGGAGAAACGCCCCCTGACATTGGTGGGCAGTGGAGAAACGCCCCCTGACATTGGTGGGCAGTGGAGAAACGCCCCCTGACATTGGTGGGCAGTGGAGAAACGCCCCCTGACATTGGTGGGCAGTGGAGAAACGCCTCCTGACATTGGTGGGCAGTGGAGAAACGCCCCCTGACATTGGTGGGCAGTGGAGAAACGCCCCCTGACATTGGTGGGCAGTGGAGAAATGCCCCCTGACATTGGTGGGCAGTGGAGAAACGCCCCTGACATTGGTGGGCAGT